TAAGTTGCTCGATTAGCAGAAGGGAACACCCAAATGTATTTCCATAGTATGACACCAGAAATGAGAGACAAAACAAAGGCATAGACGTGACATAAGGCACTGATTAGGGATGGCATCGGCTTGAGCCGGCTCAGCTTGGCTCATAAAGCCGAGCCAGCCGGCTCAAGCCGACTCACGTGATATGTGACAAATTAGAATTTGGCACGTGATAAAATCGAATTAATGTGATGTGATAAAATCGAATTTATCACATGACGAATTCGAAATAATGTGATAAAATCGAACGAATTTATCATGTGATAAAATCGATTTTATCACATCAGCTCCGAGCCGGCTAATTATAAGCCGATGCCATCCCTAGCACTGATGCCCCAATGTGCCGGACACGGGCGTTTGCAGAACCCTACAAGGTGGATTAAAAAAATATGGATTTTTCAATTTCAGAAACTACACATCAAGATAACTGCAGCGCATAACTTTGTTAATTAATAAACATCGGTTGACAATTACTTTTCCAATCGTTAATATTGATGTTTAGTAAAATTAGACAATAAAATCTGTATAAGTCGAAATTTTATAGGTTACTTTATTTAAAAGCAAATCTTTTATTAAAAGTCATAATACGTTTTATTAAGAGTTGTACTATATTTTTGTTTACTGTACGTTCAACAATTAAAATTTTTAAAAGATCTTCGAATGATCAATTTTTTGTTATAAATTTTATAATAATAAATCATAAGAAAATATAAACTTTAAAGTGTTATAATACAAAATTTTATTAATGCAACTGCTTTTGTGTTTTAAGTGGAAATGATCCTAATCTTATTCTAAATTGATTTGTGTAAAAAAAAAATTTTTGAAATTTGTCGATTTCCCTCTTTTCTGTAGCACTCTGCCCAAATATTGACGTATTACTGTTGCATAGTCACCTATTTAACAGATGAGGGTATTATTTTGGTGGGATACTGTAGGCTGTAGACCTTTATGAAAAAATAATCAAAAACCATCAACGTAGTGCTGAAGATCAAGAAAGTGCTTCAATCCCTTTTTATGGATGTGGATTGAAAAATTTAAACGAGTTAATAAAGGCACTTTTTTTTTTAAAAAAAAATAAACTTGAATATAGTCAAATACAAAGTTCTTTAAATTTTAAAAATGATACATGTACGAATTAAATATAAATCAGGAGTTTTTGAAATTATATAAATTTATATAACAAATGGTTACTTGTGTACATTACGTGCTATCAGCATCAATTAGTATAGAAGATTTAAAATAAGCTTGTCAATTTCGAATTAATTTTAAAAATAGATTTATCGTTATAAATATAGATCAACTAAGCCAATAAAATTTTATCGGATAGCTAATAGAAAATTTTGGATAGCTAATAGAAAATTTTGGATCGGCTAAGGTCACTAGTTGTCATTGTAAAAAAAATAAATAAATAAATCTGTTCTTGCTTGCAAATTAAGCTCATGCAGTATAAGCTCATGCAGTATTATATTTTCCTTGATGAAATTTAATAACCGTTAATTACAGAATTATATAAAAATATTTTCGATTGACCAATCAGAAGAAAGTTATAGAGTAGATCGCGCATATACTGTAGCTGAACAAACGGCTTTGATTCGAATTGATCTTACTGTGGTTAATTCACAGTTATCAGAAAATCAATTATATTCACTTGTTTTAATACTAGATACACAAAAATGTATGAACCGGAAAAAAAATTTCTAGAAATTATACGTAAGATATTAGTAGGATATTTCTGCTATGTAGAATGAATTATTGAAGTAATACGTGTTCACAATACCTATAAAGTATTCTATGGTTGTTTATTCGTTATGACAACTTCGTGCACTTAAATTAAGTGATCCATAATGATATTAATAGTACACGAATGGGATATATGATGTGCGAGTATAACTGTATCAATTTGTTGCTTACAAGCGCAAAGATTCTTCATATCGAAATGATTCTATTACCCAACAAAACCAAAAGATTAATATTGGTGATAATTATTGTGAAATCATGTACGTACGGTGAGATTTTTGGATGTCATTAGATCCAAATAACGTCATATTGAAGAGGATCGGTGAAAATTATTTAGATTAGGAGCCACAGAAAATTTGGTTTGCTAAGAATATAAAAGACCAAATTTTTTAGATGACTTAATTTTATTGACTACGTTTATAAAGCTTATCTTTCAATAAGAGAAGGAAAATTGGGATGAAATTTTTTGATCGTCCAAAAAAACTCTATCGAGTCATATCGCATGCTTCTGATAGTCAAAAATAAATTTAAGGCTTTCTCAATCAGTGCATGTGAAATATTATATCCGGTTTCTTAAAAATATTAAGTTTCATTCTTTATATTTGCCCTTTAAAATGTCATTCCATTTTGAGCTAATTATACTAAAAGCTGTTATATATTATAGTTAACACTTCATAAATATACCCTTCATAAACGTGCGCACTATGTTTGTTCTTTATAAATACAGTCAGACCTCTCTAAGTGCACGCCCTTGGGACCACACTTTAATAACGTGCATATAGATAATAATAAGAAAAGGTGCATTTATAGAGGTCAAGTACCGGTATATATTTGGGCCAGCACTTGAGAAAGGGTGTGCGCTTATAGAGGGTGCACTTAGAAAGGTCTGACTGTACTTGCTAATTTCAATCTCAAGCTTATAAAAACTCTTAATAAAACTTTCATACTCTCTTTAAATACATTTTTTTGAAAATTTCACATACATTTTCAAGGAGTGCACTTATGAAAGATTGACTATTTTTTTTTTAAAAAAAAGTTAACTACTATATTTCAAAATAAAAATTCGGTATCCAAATGTTATTTAAGTAGACGCTGAACCGAATCAGGTCCGATTTAACTGGAACTGAACATTATGGAATTTCGTAAATGCCATCACTTCGCTCTTCATCCTCAGCCAACAAATAAACAAGATATTGATACCGTATAAGCGCGTAGTAACGTGCATCTACGCGTTATTTCGGAACGTGCATGGCGGTAATTCGAATTATTATCTAATTTTGGAAAGAAAAGTTACAGCTACTAAACTTTCCTGCAACCTTGGTACAACGTGGAGACGCGTTATTTTGAGTTCAATATGCTTTCAAAAAACGTTGTTATGTGCTTATACGGTAACGGTATTAATGATGAACGGAAATAATTTCTTCACGACTTGAGGACTTTTTTTCCTTTAAAAAATTGATACTTTGTTTCTAATTTTATAAAATAATTATAAGCTTAAAACTGATTACATAATATAAATATAACTTCTACGATACGTATAAACGATAATTCAAAACGAACGAACGATTCAACTTTAAATAAACAAAATTAGAGAATAAATTTAAGATTAATAACGTTAGAATTTGAGAGGTTGCATATTTAAATCGGATATTTTTAACGGCACATAAATTTGAAAAAAAAAAAAAATGTTTCCCTTTATTATACAATTTGTATTTGGATTTTTATAAATAAAAAATAAATACTAATACAAAATATACTATAAACATTGCCTCTCTATCGTACCAAAATTGAAAAAAAAAATGAAATTTATAAATATATTTCATGATATTAACCATCATTGATTATTGAAATTAAAGTTATTGTTGTTAAAAATGGGCATATGTGTTTGTTGATAAGATAAATCAGGACTTTGCGACGACATTGCAGGGCTTGTAAAAATGGAGGTAGAAGTAGTGTTTGGAGATGAAGTAGAATCATAAAAAATATTTTGAACAATTGAATCATCATTAGTCGATTGTTGAAAATTTTGAAAAATTTGTTGATCCCCGCCAATAGGATATTGCGGTAAAGGAGAACTATTAAAGTTATCAGGTAAATCGAAAGTAAAAGTAAAGTTACTTTTATCATCACCCCACATAGGTAATTTAGGGGACTTTCGATATTTCTTATCTTTGTTATTAACGTACAAATTATCCTTTTGTTGTTCAGAATCATACATCACATGTTCCTCATACGCCTTCAAATTGTTTAAATTTCCTTTTAATTTTTCTTCACCATCTAATCTACCTTCACCTGTGGGTTGATCAACAAATCTTCGCCTTGCAATTTCTGCAACATCCTTTTTAATCTCTTTTAATCTTTGTACCATAAGAGCTGCTTTCGAATCACCGCGTTGAGCAGTCCATGTTAATACACGTATGGCAGGTGCAAACGAAAAAAGTGCAGTGCAAGTTTGTTCATAAAAATCTGGTACAGTGTTAATAAGCACATCAAGGCAATGGAGAAGAATTATTGCAGCATGAACACAAATAGTTTGAGAAGATAATCTTAAAGAATCATCTATTGGATGATTTGAAGTGAACATGGTAAGATTGCGACTATGAAGAAGAATTAGTACTGTCCAGAAAAGAGTATGCGTTTCCCCTATTAAGAAAACATTAATAATTAATAAAGTCCTAAAGACAATAAATATAATAAAATTTAAAGTATTATTTCATGATCACCTCCAATTGCACCTAATAAGCTTCCTTTCGGATCTTGTGCCATTTCTTCAAATTTTAACCAATGTGGTAAAGTATAAAACCATTTTCCTAATGTTGCATCTAAAAAACGAAATTGATTTTCCTCTCGAGGAGTACCAGCAATTTTTGACCAACCGTATAAATATTTTCGAACCTAAAAAAAATATATGTGTGTGTCTTTTTTGAGTACCTGTTGATAAAGTAATCAAAGATCTATAAATGACTCACTTGAGCAAAAATTCGTAATAAATTAATATGTAAGATCCAAGCTATATGCAATCGTGTTTCTTCATCTGGATTTTGATCAGGCGGTATTGGAAGGAGATCAACATCGCATGTAGATTCATCTATAGCGCTTGGACGACCATAACAAGCTGAAACCCAACTAAAACCGAAATGGTTGATAATTAATTTGTAAACCCCAAAAAGATCACCGAAAAGTGTAAAGGCTCACGTTTCAGAAGCAAAGAACCCCCAAAATGCCATATCTCTCAATTCTTTAACTTCGTCACTAATCAGATTATGCTTGACTTTTCGATGTAATCCTAATTCGTATATCATTTTGGATACTATTCCATTTAATATCCATACAGTTCCTGTCTACAAATTATGTAATGTCAATTTAATAACAATAACAATAATAATAATAATAATAATAATATAAATTTTTAACCAAAAAAAAACGATAATATTACCGCTCTAACATGAAGTCCAAGTATGAACAAACTAACAACAGTTAAGACGTGTGGAGTTTTAAGACAATGGAGTTGTAGTAATGCTAATTTTTAAAGATAATATTTGAGTTCTTAAATTAATTGTAATTCTTGGACGGAATAGAAAATTCATGATCCAAAGTTTACCTAATGCTCTCTATAACGTAATTAACAATAATAAGAACAATAAAATTATATATATCATAAACAAGTCTACTATTGATTTAATTTCACACCTCGTAATAAGTCCCTCGATCACTTAAAATCTTGTCTGGATGAAATGGAGAAGCTGCGAAAAAAATACTATTAAGTAAAAGAAAATGTTGTGGCCTTGATAATTCATTATAACAGTCAAGCACAGTTTTTTTCTTTAAATGAGGATAATGTCGATATACAGTCTATATAGATAATAGATGTTAATAATACGAAACACGCTAAATCTGAAAACAAATTAAAGTTTCAATTACTTGATAATAGACATCAATCAAACTTTCTACAATTTCTTTAATTGGTAAAATTTTTAATTGATTGTCAACTAAAGATAAATCATATAAATCATCTTGTGGTATGATTTGTTCTTCATCATCATATGGTGTTATTAGAGATGCTGGGCCTACATATAAGGTGGACTCAAATTTTTCAGCAAGTTGATCCACAGGATCTTGTGATGTATTACTTAAATCTATGCCGTACATCATTGGAACAGTAATTGGAATTTCCTTTTAATTGAAAATATTTTTTACATGTCAATATTATTCTGATATTCGAAAGTATTGAAATATTACAATTGCGGCAAACCTGTACTGGTAAATCTGGTATGGGAGGTTTAAGTTCCGCTAAAGACATTAACACTTCTTCTGAGAATTCTAGATTTAAACTTGGTGGAGGACTTCCTTCTCCTATCATGGGTGAATAAAAATTGTTCCATACCTAGTAATTAAAACAGTTTCACGATCATAATTAAAATTTTCTTTAATTTTTTTTTTAAAAAAAAATTACAAATCTTAGACATACTCCGTCGTTAGGAAGATTTTCATTCATTTGATCGGGCATAGGAAAATTCGTTCCTGTAGCGATATTATCACCACCCATAGGCATTGTTCCTTGAAAGCCAGGAGATACGGCCATTTTTAATAGAGATCCCACTTGATTCAACTGCTGGAACTGTATACTTTGAATATCCTCAATTTGTTCTTGTAAAATTTCTATTTCGCTTTTTGGTCTCCCACGCTTTGACGAAGCAGAAAGATCATATCTACATTCTCGTTTAGATTTACGACAAGTACCACATTGAGGACGCTCTTTATCGCACTTTACTTTACGTTGTTTGCAATTATCGCATGTTTCAATAGGTTTAAACCTTTTGCTTGTAATCGGAGTAGGTGTTCCAAAAGGAGGAGGTATTCCGGTATACACGCTCATGTTCTTTAGAGAGCGAGTGAAATTATAATAAGACAAACCACTAAATTCGAGGGCATTCTCCAATCAAAAATTTGTATCAGGTCATTGCCTAATGAAGGATGTTAATTGTTTCACTATTTCCTTATATATGTTAATGAAATTCCTAATATATGCTAATGAAACAAAACTTCCAATTTTATTATCGATACCGATACAATTAACGGGTATGCTGTACGTATGTACTTTTTGTTATATATGTCGAGTCCGCATACAATCAATTCAAAAAAAAACATGATATTTTACAACGCATTTACCCTAATCTTAAGCCTAACCTATTAAAATGAACTGTCAGTGAAATATGCTGTTTACTAAATGAACTTGCCTGTAAATTCGTTTATAAAATAAGCTTTGAAATGAGTGCCGGTGAAATGTAGTGTCTTTGAAAATGATTGTTGGTGATTTGATTAGAACTGATATATGTCGACCGCCGACGTAGTCTTGTTTAAAATGCTCGAAAAAGCTCTCAAAGTTTTTGGTCAGGTTTCCATGAACAACCGGTATATAAAATGTGAAAAAACCAACGTCACTACTTTCCTTTTTTTGGTGCTTCTTACCCAAGGAAGTGATTCATTAACGAGAACCTTTAGGAATGTATTGCTTCAAAGGGTTATTACATTATAAGCATACGTCGCTACTTTTCCTTTTTTTGATACTTCTTACCATAGGAAGCGATTCATTAGATGAACATTAACGAAAACTTTTAGAAATGTATTATAAGCATGGGAAAAAAATGAATAAAACTATTTTTATATTATGTAGATGTAGATCTCGTATTATATATTACATTACAGTAATTTCCAATCAATTTTTTAAACAACGATTATGTAAACGATCGTGGCGGTTATTTAGAGAATTGGTCAAATAATTAAATCATCTGCATTATGGTATCGAAGGAATTTTTTTTTTCGAAAAAGTGGTAGTCGGTGAATTAACTAAATTATCTAACCTTTACAAAGTTCTTTCGATAAACGAAAGAAATATAGCATCAAGTAGCGTTGCTAATTGGCACATACAAGAAACAAAAATTGTATCATTTAATTATATCGGTATAAGGCGTTCTCAACTTCGTTCTCGGTGTGTTTAGGCAATAGTAGTAGTACGAGTACGCAATCTGCTGGTCTTTATTTGTTAAATCTGATCGGCTAATCAATAAGGTAGCTGCGCGACACTGTCAAGGAACGACTCGATCAGATAAGAGCATTCGTTGAGTTTAATTTGTGAATCATATAGGCAGAATTATAGTTGTTAGACAAAACCTTTTTCGCATGATGACGAAAGACGAAACCTCTGACGAAAGTCGAAACCCCAAACTCTTCTGATGAAAGACGAAACCTTAAACTTAAAATGACGAAACCTTACGCTCAAAAAAAACCAAACCTTAGTGCTCCCACTATAAAAAAAAAAAAAAAAAAAAAAAAAAAAAAAAAAAAACAAAAAAAGAACAATCGTTATTTTCATTCATAATTTACTCAGAGATCAGTATCTGAAATTACATGTATGCTAGCAAAAGTAAACCAGTTCATTTTTTCTGGACAACGCTAGTGTTGTTATAGACCAGTCGAATAACCTTGTCAAAAAACCATAGTACTCATGGAATAATGAATTAAACTGGCACAAAATAAATTTGTAAGATCACAAAGTAAACATCAAGCGATTTCTCACTAGAACTTATACGTATATAAAATACTCATTTCTAACTCCTTTAAACAATTCAAGCGCCTATTATATAATAAATTTTTTGCAATTTTTATATATTTTTGTATTTTGTCAACCTTTACAGTTTTGTCACCTTTCATCAGTTTCGTCAGTTTCGTCATTTCATCATTTAAGATTTTAATTGACGAAAGACGAAACTAGGTTTCGCGTTTTGTCAGCGCGAAATCTCGAGGTTTCACCTAACAACTATAGGTAGAATTTTTGATTTTGGTGATTATTAAAAATTAAATGATTATCCTCTGATAATAAAATTATCGTCCATCGCGAGTATCGAGTTTATCGTGTGAAAATATGTGCAACTTACAATATAAATCTATTCGAATTAATGATGCCTGACGAAACTATTTTCGCACAGACGAAACATATTCGTCTCTGGTTTCGTCTGACAAAACCCAGGAATGACGAAACTATAGACGAAACTACAGATGATTGACGATTGATGAAACTAGAGTTGGGTTTCATGCATGCTGAGAAAGTTTGGGCTAGTTGGGGATAATTAAAACTAACTAATTTAATTAATACAAAACTATACAACAATTGTCTCAAGACTCCTTAACCTTGAATCGGTAGGCTGTAAAGATTTGGTCCAAGTCTTAAGGTTAGTAGGGTCTTTCTACAGCGTAACTGGTCTTATAATACTTAATCTCAATTTTATAGCAGGATGATGATTTTCTGCAGTGACAAAATACCAATTCCATCCATGCAAAATGATAATTCTGCGATCTGACCAGAATTACATAAAATGGCCAGCATTATAATTGTAAATTTCGGCCAAAATTAAATATCAACCGGCATTATGTTGAGCAAGGAACCTAAGTTTTGACCAAAAATCAGTTCATGATGTCACGTGATCAGGGTAATTGAATATCGAGGTGCCCTTATGTAAATCAAATGGACTAGGTTCTGAGAAAAAGAACCAAATTGACTATTTTTTTCAAAAGATATTTTTTTATATAAATTAATTTAAAATAAGATTAGGCAATACAAATAAAATTTTCTGTTTTATATAATATTTAAAAAATTTTCAGACCTGGCTGCCTGAAGGTTTTTTTATTTAGATAAAATTTTTTATAAGTAAAACTAAATTAGTCAAAACAACTATAATGCAAAATCAAAAAGCATAGCTTACTCAAACTTGTATCTAGCTCTTATATATATACATAAGATAATACTCATCAACTTGGAAATACTATTTGTACCCATCAATTATATGTATTAGAAAACAGTACATATAGAATAAATTTAATTGTAAGTTAGAGTAGAATTATAATAGATTCAAATCCACTTAGGTTAGAACAAAATAATTATACAAAAAATTCTAACCCTAACTTTAAAAATTCTGAGTTAAATTCTGTTTTTACTTATGATATATATATCTAAATAATTATCTCTTGGATTCCTCTACAAGTGGATGTAGAGAATTATTGTTTGAATGTATAATCTAACTAATACTATTATTACTTTATTATATATCTTTTTTTTTTTTTTAATTAATTTGGCAGTCATGCCTTTACTTTATTAGGCTTTGTAATAATCATCTAGACTATTAAAATTTTAGAGAGACTTATCGATGAGTGATAAACTCTGAACATGTCGGCAGATAGCATATGAGAACTATCTCTAAATGACATGTGCTGTGCCCAAGGGCTACACAACTATACCTAAATTACAAGTAAAGACCCAGTTGCTCAATAAGTACCTATGTTCGACCTGCTATAGTAGAATTCTTCTCCTTCCAGACCCTTCCTGCAATTGGATATGATCTGGCTCTCAACAGATGGTATCTACCGCCCATCATGACCACATCTCCCTTCTTTTAGACTTCTTTCACCTAAGCCCGACAACAAAATTAAAACCCTTATTTATACATAAAAGTGAAAAAAATAATGCATATTTATGAGAGATATAAACATTTTAGAAAAAAAACACCTCATAATAGGAAAAAAAAACTTTTTAACAAATTCTAAAATAGTCTAATATAAATGAATCAAGATAAAAAAAGCGAAAAAAAAGTAGCTATGACACACTATTATAGCCCATGCTAGGCATAAGGATAAAAATTATATAATAATTGCAACTAATTAATATATCTCGATTGTAAGATATCACCTTATCATAGAGAACTCGTTCTGGGCACTAACAAAACTCGGGTATCTCCTAAATGGGGTACCGGTCTCTTCTTCATACTGTAGCACTGTATTGATAAACAAAACAAACATGTAGTTGCATTCTACTGAGTATATCTGAATTAGGAAGGTGTAAATATTGTCAATCTTTTGGAGAGGGTGAGCCCAAATGCCTACTTTTTTTCAAAAATTTTGGAGAGAATGACAAAAGTGAAAGGAAGGTAAAAAAACCAAGAGGAAACACCAAAGAAATATTTACCCAAGCCTGCACAGTACTAAGTTTTTTCGGTAAGTGATAAACTCTGAGCTTGTTGGCAAATAGCATATGAGAACTACCTCTAAACGGCAAGTGCCGTGCCTATAATGTCCTTTTTCCCATGTCTCACATTAAGGCTCCTTTTGAACCAAGCCATGATATACGTTATTCCAAGAAAAGTCTCCAAATTTTCAGGGAGTGTTGTTAGAAAAACTTATTTGTTGTTCTCCTTCTATTCTATTCTTTTGTATTACGAGTTACTTCGTCAACAAAAAGGCCCCAACTTCTCATAAGCACCTTCTTTCCAGAATTTTGGAAGCAAAGGCGCCAACTCTTGCCAGTTATCTTGTTTCCTAACACTTCTGGTTTGCATACCGAATATGCAAAGGAGTCTCCGGAGTAAAAGGTTGATCTTTACAAAAACCATTCCATAGCACTGTCTTCTCCTCTCCAACAAATTTTTGTTTTTCATTTGATTTTGGTTCAGGTAGATATTACATTTTTAATAAACCTAATTTTTTAATTTTACTATTAAAATTTTAAAAAGTCTCTTAAATTTTTATATGTTTTTAAAAAAAAAATGTTTAGTTACTACTAAGTAAAATTTAAATTTTGCTTAATGATTTATAAAAAATATAATAATTAAAGTTATTCAATTTTAAATTCTTTACAACTTTTTATTAAGATAATAGGGATTAAATCTTAAATTTTTATTAAGTAAAATTAAAAAAAAAGAAATTTTTTTTTAAAATTAAATTTTTTTTAAAAAATTATAAAGTTTTCTTTTATATATGACTTCAAATTTTTTATAAATATTAAAGAGGTAAAAATAATTTTTAGATAGTATATAATTATAATTTTTT